TCTGCCAATTTTTAAAAATATATTTTATTGATTATGCCATTACAGTTGCTCTATTTCCCCCCTTCATTCCCCTCCACCCTGCACACCCCTCCCCCACCATTCCCCCCTTTAGTTTATGACCTCGTGTCTCAAGTTTTTTAGATTCTATATCTCCCCTACTATTCTTACCCTCCCCCCATCTATTTTCTGTCTACTGTCTATGCCACTTATTTTCTGTTCCTTCTCCCTCCTTCTCCTTCTCCCACTCCCCTGTTGCTAACCCTCCATGTGATCTCCATTTCTACGGTTCGCTCCTGATCTAGCTGTCCTCTTACTTTGCTTTTGTTTTAGGTGTGGTTGTTAACAACTGTGAGTTTGCTGTCCTTTCACTGTTCATCTTTTTTATCTTCTTTTTTTTTAGATAAGTCCCTTTAACATCTCATATAATAAGGACTTGGTGATGAACTCCTTGAACTTGATCTTATCTGAGAAGCACTTTATCTGTCCTTCCATTCTAAATGAAAGAGTAGAGCAATCTTGGTTGTAAGTCTTTGGTCTTTGCTGGATAACAATCTTGGCAATCTTGGCATCAGGCAATCTTGGTTGTAGGTCGTTGGATTTCATGACTTGGAATACTTCTTTCCAGTCCCTTCTTGCCTGGAAGGTCTCTTTTGAGAAATTCGCTGATAGTCTGATGGGAACTCCTTTGTAGGTGACAGTCCCCTTATATCTTGCTGCTTCTAGGATTCTCTCCTTCACTTTAATTTTGGCTAATGTAATTATAATGTGCCTTAGTATGTTCCTTCTTGGGTCCAACTTGTTTGGGACTCTCTGAGCTTCCTGGATTTCCTGGAAGTGTATTTCCTTTGCCAGATTGGGGAAGTTCTCCTTTATCATTTATTCAAATAAGGTTTCTACTCATGGCTGTTCCTCTTCCCCTTCTGGTACCCCTATAATTTGGATGTTGGTACTCCAGGACGTTTAAAGATGTCCTGGAGGTTCCTCAGCCTCTCCTCATTTTTTTGAATTCTTGTTCCTTCATATTTTTTGTTTGGTCATTTTCTTTTTTCCTCCTTCTGGTCCACTCCCTTGATTTGAGTCCCAGTTTCCTTTCCATTACTATTGGTTTCCTGTGCATTTCCCTTCATTTCAATTAGTTTAGCCTTCATATGTTCCTCTAATTTATGGCTAAAATCAACCAGTTCTGTGAGCATCCTGATCACCAGTGTTTTGAACTGTGCCTCTGATAGGTTGGCGATTTCTTGTTTGCTTATATTTATGGGCTCTGGGGCTCTGAGTTCTTCTTGAGCCATGTTTTGATCTGTTCGCACCTGTTAGCGCCTGTTACGTATGAGGAGAGGAGCCTTAGTTGTTCACCAGGGCGGGGCCACCCAGGTCGCTGGTTTGTGATGCTGTATGTGGGGTGGGGTCAGAGAGGGAGCAATGGTGGTCCCCTCTATCTGCCAATTTTTATTTGGATTTTTTTGTGTGTTTTAAAAAAATTGTTGTTCAAATACAGTTTTCTGTCCTTTACTGCCATACCAAGCCCACTCCCCGTGCTCCCCACCTCCCTCCCATTTCCACACCCCTTAGTTGTCCATTTGTCCTTTATACTAGTATAAGTATCACTTTAATTAATGAAATAGGAACTTAATGTCACCTGAAATGAATTATGGTGACACTCTTCCCTGCTGTTCAAATGACAGGAAGTACAAAGCGGAACTTGGGCTCTGAAGTAAGAAGAGCTATCGTCGGAGTCTGGCCATGCAGCCCCCATGTCCTGGAGAGGACCCCATCTTGCCGAGCCTTGGTTTCAGATGGGCGTGCCAACGGTGACGCACCTCCACCCCGCCCTCCTCGTGGTCACTGTGCAGGCTGTGACTGCACCCCTGGAGGCGGTCAGCACGAGCAATGTGGTTCTGGAGGGCCTGCAGTTAAAACACATGCCTAATTCCCACATTACAAATAAAGGTCCCTCTGTAGTCTGTGGGCTCCTACTGCAATAGTCTGCTGGTCTGCGTACACTCGCTGTATCTAAAACAAACCTCTCGCAAACTCCACGTTTCGGCTCAGGATGGAGGTGCAGATGCGGCTGGTTGGTGGGCACAGCAGCCTGTTGGGGGAAACGCCAGGCTCTCTAGCAGCTCCCGAGGCTGGTGCCAGTCCTACCTGTGCAGCTCTATCCCAGTGCCTGGTTTCATGCTTGAGGACCATCTGCTATGTGTGGACACGGATGTGAACTTGGGAGCCAGACTCTCCCACCATTAGAGATGCTCTGCATTTCTGCTAATGGGAGGTCGCTTCTATTTGCTAAGAAAGAGGCACCATTGTCCTTAGAAAAACCTGCTGATGACCCAGGGATGTGAGGGTCACCCTGAGTGTAAACCAAAGTCACTAAGGACTGACTCCAAGGCAGGCGTGGGGAGGACAAAGCACACTGTGTGGGACATCCTGCACCCGTGGCACTTCTCCCATTAAGACGCTGCTAGTAAGAGACAGAAAGTTGCCAAGCTGATGGTGATTGTGGTGCTGAATGAAGCGGTGGGAGAAAGAGCAGTCTGGTCGGTGAACACACGAAGACAGGAGACTGGCAGACAGATGCCTCGCAAAACCCATGGCACCAGATTAGACAAGGCCGGGCATGTGATTGGGCAAAGTGGGTGCTACGTCCACAAGGCTGTCAGGCCCTCCGATCTAGACTCTTCCAGAAGACTCTGACCCTGAGCGCCTATGCAACCACGGCGGGGTGACCTCGGCCAAGTGGGGTCTTGGATCACCTGTTTGTGGGGCTCCTCCAAGGATCGCTTCTCCCTGTGATAGGAGGCCTGTGCCCCGGTTTCCAGGAATCAGTTCCGGGGTAATTTCTTCTGAGGGGTCCGCTCCTCTGACCGGGAACCCCTGCAGAGAAGACTGGGGACGCAGGTGTGTGTGGCACACCGCAGCCTCCCCACGCACCAAGACCTCCTGCAGCAGCTCCAGAGCTGAGCCGCTTGAAGCTCACGTGACAGAGGCCTCCAGAAGGTGCCTGACTGGGGACTGGAATGCAAGGTGTGAGTCCTGAACTGATCACTGGCCTCATCAGGCTGTCTGCTTTCTAGAACGTGCTTCCTAGTGAGCTTCCAGCTCAGACCCCTCGTTCACCAAGCGCTGGTCTCGTGCCTGCTGGGTCCTATGACTAGGCTGTCTGGGGCCAACAAAATAACTGGGCAACTGTTGGCTTCCTGGTGCCTCACACCACCATAGACTGTGCCACTTACTTGAATTTGCTAGAAAGTCATGAGTTTTGATTTGCTACCCCTCCTAAAATTATGTTCTAAGGGAGAAGTTAAAAAGCCCCATGTACTCACATTGTAAAGCCATTTCAACAATGCTCTGGCTACTTTTTCAAAATGTGTTGTATTGTACCTTTAGAAGTAGATTATTTAAAATATGTCCTTAAGTAAACTAATGTTGGGAGTTTAATTCCAGCAAATGGATAGCAGAACCTAAAATCTGGTCAAGACCTTTGGTTAAATGATGCATGTACGCAATTCCCTCCTACATCACCCCACTGCATGGTGGACACCTGCACCTCCAAACACGATTGCCCAGGGCTGTCCAAGCAGCATGAGAACGGGAGGAAGCCACACTCGTGCCACCTCTGTGATGAGGCACTGTCACTTACAAGTCGTTCACCAGCCCCGACAACTCCTGATTTCATCCGTAGCCACAAACGTTCCATGTAATGCCTGGAAATGATCTGCCAACCAGGCTTCCCTAGCTCCCCACCTGTGCTGCTGCACAGGGCTACTTACTGCTTCTCGTCTGAGACTGGAAGTCCCCGCCATCTCCTCGGTGACCCCAGGGCCCACGGCACCTCTGTCTCCTGCTCTGTCACACCCAAGCCACACTCTGCATGGTCACAACCAGAAAAATAGCCTTGGAAGACAGAACTCATGCGTGTGTCTGGGTGCATGCACATATGAGAGACGTGTCTGTGCCCCTACGTAAATCTCAGTGGTGACCTGCCCTCTTAGGACTGTTAGCCACTGTAACAGCTGGGGACTAGGACAACAAACTCAGGTTTCCTGGAACAAACTCTTACGACGACTGAGGGACGAATGATCCTTTTTGCTGCCACACAAGATTAGCGACCACCAGCTCGCCCCTACCTGGTCTAAAGACACTGCTCCACTGGCTCAAACAGCTGTCCTCCATCCTAAGAAGTCCAGACTTCAGATTCCTGATCGGCTTTGAGCCCAAGGAAGAAGTGTAAGGAAAAAAAAACACTCCCTTCACTTTTAAAGATGTTTTGGCATTTCTTTGCGAGACAAACTCTAAATTGGTAAAGACTCTGCAAACAATTTCCACTTTCTAGAAAAGAAATGACCTTCTCGAAAGGGTCAGCTCCGAAGCCATGTTCTGGCGTCTGACGCTACTGGAGGACTCGACACAGAGCAGGGTCCCCCGGGATGCGGGAGTCCCGCTGTGCGGCACCCACGGCGCTGGGCACCGCGGAGCCGAAGCACGCTCCCCTGGCAGGGGCGCGGGTGCCGGCTCAGGCAAGGCAGCCCTCCTCTTTGTCCCCGAGTGGAAGGGACTGTGGGGAGGCTCTCACCGTCCATGGGTGAGGCCCCCGGGAGGCGTGGGGACAGAGCACCCAACAGCGCTCTTCCAGCAACAGTGCCTCTTGGTAGGGCACCGAGAACATGCAAAACAAGCACCCGGGTGAGGTACCTTAACTCTCTGGACAGAAGCCGCTGAGCTCAAGAAATGTGCACACTGACACTACCCCAGCAAACTTCTGGGACGACCAATCTGAACAACAGCTGATGGCAATAACACCAAACATTAACTGCATTGAAAGGAATCCTTTAAAATAGAAGTGAGAGACAAGTAAGTGGCCATTCTTTCTGGTGCTGACCAGGCAGACTTATCTGTGCAGCAACCATCAAGAAGCCACCAATGTTAAGGGCAGGGACTCCCGTTGAAGAACTGGCCCAAATCACCACTGGGGAGTCTGCTAATATTGTAAAGATTACCATTCTCCTCCTCCTCCTCCTCTTCCTCCTCCTCCTCCTCTTCCTCGTCGTCCTCTTCCTCTTCGGCATCCTCTCCATCCTCATCATCGTCCTCGTCGTCCTCCTCGATCTCCTCCTCGTCCTCTCGGTCCCCCTCGTCGTCGTCCTCCTCGTCCTCCGAGTACTCCTCCTCCTCGTCCTCGTCCTTCTCATCCAGGTCCTCAGTCCCGTCGCTCTCGTAGCGCTCATCTGCTGAGGAGCTGTCGGCTTTGGCCGAAAACGCTTTCCGTTTGGGAGCAGGCTCTTGAGGCTGTTTATCTTGGGTTTTTCTTTTTTTGGCCAAGGGGCAACCATATACACTGTTAAAAGAGAGAGAGAGAGAGATGGGCTGCGTTACTATCTCGGAAGGCCAGAGCAATGGCGTCGCTGTGGCGGAGAGCTGTCCTGGCAGGAACACTCGCACCGTGGTCAGGCTGTCTGCCCGGACCTGCTGATGGGACGGTGTCACAGGAAACCCCGCTCGTCTGCGTCTGGCTGCTGTCAGTGTGCAGCTCGGCCCCCCAGTTCCTCGGCATGGCTGCCCTGACTGCCGCCCGACGGGGAGCCCTCTCGCTCCGCAGGCTGCTGCATGAAGCTCTCTCGGAACAGCCTGCCATGGACAACGAGAGTTCAGTGACACACGTGTGAAGAGCACTGGCTCATGCACACTGCAGGTACGTGTGAGACAGCTCTGGATGTGTGTGGCTGTGCACATTCCATGGACATGATGGCCCACCCACCCCATCTACACTGGTGCAGGCTGCGGCCTGGCCCGGCTTCACGAGTAAGACCTCAGTGGCCCTCCATCGCACCGCGATGGGCCCCACACGGGGGAGGCCTCATGGCAGGAGCTCACAGCGTCTCCACGGACACATTTCCCAAAGCCACGCCGCTCACTGCAGCTTTCTGCCTGGGAGCCCCGTGCACACGGTGCAAGGAGTGTGGCGGAAAGAGAACAAACGTGCCGTGGGCACACCTGCTCACCTGAACTGGGATGTGTGAGTACCGCCGCCCAGCAGGCCAGGGTTCTGCGGCTTCTGAACGGTGCCTGGACCTGGCAGCACTGACACCTGTGCTTGGTCACAGCCCGTCCGGCGCATGTGGGTGAGGGAGCCTCCTGCAGGCGGGACTGTGCGGTGCTACCGACTCAGAGGTGAGGGCGCACACGCTCACCACAAGGCCCTCCGGGCCCACTGAGCACTATGCCCTGCCAATCACACCATCTCGAATCCTCTCCTCACCATTCACCACAGTGGGCCAAGTGGCCGCCACATGTGGGCACTCAGTAAATAGTTGAATGAGTGGGTGAGATGTGATAGATACCGGGATACAAGCGGGTAGAAGGCACTCTGTCAAAGGAGCCAGGGAGTCCCCAGGAAGGGCGACCAATGCACACGACGTGGGGGAGAAAATGAGACCATTTCTATAGACTTCCAGCAAAACAGACTGTGGACACAGCATGACAGTTCCAGGAAACTGAACTGGAAACTGCGCCCCGGAGTTCAGAGTGTGGAGAGAGGGGCGGGCAGAGGACAGGAGCTGAGGGTGCAGTGATGTGGGTCAGACTGACCACAGGTGTCTGGTCTCCATGCGGGGAGGCAGGGAGCAATGCGAGGGCACAGTCACATCTGAGAGTAAGAAAGGAGGCGGCGTGGGGCATTTAGGAAGGGCTGGGACGCAGGCTGTGCCACTCACCCCTGGAACACCAGGTGACTGGTCCCAGCCTCTGAAAGGTTATCATCTCTTAAAAATACACTAGTCCAACCAAGAATAACACTTACTACAACCAGAAAAAACCCTGAAAAAAAATACTGCTGTACATGGTATTTCTGACATGAAGTACACAGAATTCTGAGATTTCTTTTATCCAAATTTTTACATGTTTGGGGAGAATCCGAGCCCAAGACCTCCAAAGGGTGCTGCACTCCCCTGCCAAGCTGAACGGCCGCCCGACAACTAGTGCAGCCGAAGGCCCCTGCCCCGTCCCCACCAAACGGCCCGGGGTCTGGGCCCACTGTCCAGTGTGCACACTCTACGCCTGTCTGTACCGCACCGCAGCAAATACGGCAGAAAGTGCACAGTGTGCTCCCCCGGGTCCGCCCATGGCCTCCAGGGTCACCATGGCTGCGGGCGCCTTTCCACCTCTCTCCCCTCCGTTCGCGGCCCGCTCACACATGGCTGGTGTGTCTTCTGTGCCGGAGGGCGCTGCCCAGAGGCCCCGTGCGCTAACGCCACTGACCAGGCTGACACCGCCACCAGCAGATGCCCCAGACTCCTTGAAGTGACACCGCACCGCTGCCTCTGTGATCTTCAGTGATGCTGCCCAAACGCCCGACCTCAGTGTGGCCAGGGGACACTTCTGCAGGTGGCACAAATCTAGCACTGAGCGGGGTGCTCACGCGACATTCTTCTGTCTCGTCGGCGCACAACTCAGCCTCCCCCGAACGTCCGGACAGCTCCCTGTGGCGCGGCCCTTGCGGGTGGAGCTGCGCAGGCCGGGGAGTGGGGACTGCCCTCCGTCTCCCCGGGGGCCTGTCCTCCCTCACCTTCGTTGTGTGAGCCCCTGCATTCGGCTGCTCGGAACTATCTGCTCTCCAACTTCCAGTGTCTTCTGCCAGTTCACACGTTCGATGCTCAAGTTTTCTTTCTGTATCCACCCATGTACACTATAAATAACACCGCGCTCCAACTACTAACAAGTTCCGCTGTGTCTGCCCTTCATGTGATCCATTCTCATTGACCCCAATCCCTGGCATCTGCTGTTCACATGGTGACAAAATTCAGGCCCAGGAGACAAACAGCACAGGTCTCAGGAAGCAGTTCAAGTCCATGCTGCCTCCTGGGCTCCCAGGCCCAGTGGGTTGGAACAGCTCAAAACAAAGTCTTGGAAGGCACTTCTGGAGCACGTGTACAGAGTGTGGGCCCCCTGCACCTACGTTCTGTGGCATCCTGTCTGCTGACAATGGGGTCGGCACCCTGAGACTTGCCCATGATGGACAGTGACTACTGCCTGCTCCCACCTGCAGGTGCTGTGGAGCCAGCTGCTGGAAGAGCCCGGCAGTCACTCAGGCTCGTGTCTACAACGTGCACTCCCAAACAGACACCAAAGCCCCACGTGCTGGAATGTCCTCAGACTGACAGAACTCGCGGTTAATAGATGGTAGCATCTTCAGAATCATGGGGGTGCTGGTATGAAGGTGAGGCACAGGTACATGACCGTGGTGGTGCCGAGACTGGCCCTTGGCCCACGGCACCCACGAGCGGGTGAGTTTAAGCCCTGTTTCCTGTTTGGAGCTCAGCTGGCAGACTTGGCGAAGGTGTGTTTCTGTGTGTGCTGAGCAGCCCTCGGTGGACAAAGCTGATCTGAACATCAGTGTGGGGCAACTTCTTGGGTCGCCTACTGAACTCCTCACTGTTCTCTCCCTCCTTTTGTTCTGGAATCACTGTTGTTGGGGTGTTGTACATCCTGGGCTGGTTTTATCAACGTCTTACCTTTGCTCTGCTATGTTTTCCCTACAGTTTGGTTTTCCTCACAGAGGAGTTTCTTTGACTCTATATGCAATTCTCCTCCTGAGTTTTAATTTCCTGCTTTCACTTTTTAAAATTTCTTATTTAGAAAACAATTAGGGATCCTAATTGTTTTCTAAATAAATTACCCTCCTATTTCTTTGGAACATTATAATTTTTTTGAAAAATCTTTCTCTACGTAACCTCTGTTTCTGCAAATTGCCTTTTCTCTTGCTGTACGGTTCTCACCTCTGAGGGGTTCCTCTGCTCTGGTCCAGGGCTGTCAACTCACATTCTGGGGAGGGCTGTGGTGACTATGAGCTTTGGGCACAGTGGTCTGATGAAGCTGCTTTGCTGGTCACTTGAAACGTGGTGTATGTTTTTCCTCTTAGGTTGCTCAGGTCCCCCCAGAAGGCCCCTTCCAGCTTGCAGAGGAGGGCCTGTGCTGGCAGTTGGTGAGCTTGAGGTCTGGCGTGGGACATGCCCAGCCTGCCAGCTCAGTGCAGATGTCCACTCAGCCTTCCCGTGTGTGCTCAGCTCCCTGGAGGCCAGGTAGCTGTCCTCCCTGAATGACGGCTCGAAGCTTGCTACAGCTCTAGGTGTGAGTCCACTTGTGTGTGGAGCAGAGTGGCCGCTGCAGCATCTGAGTCTCACTCCAAGCAGAGCCTGTTCCCCTGGAGGCCTCTTATCACCACTGCTGCTGGGAGTGCCCGGCACCATTCCCTCTAGCGTGCGAGGGGCGCCTCGCAGGGTGTTCAGAGCCCTAGAGCCTCCGCTGCAGTTGAGGCAGCGGTGGTCTGCTAGAGCTTCTGCAGCTCTGATGCCAGTCCCCCCTCCCAGTGTTCTTCCGCCTTTAGGAGCCGCTCTTCACTCCCACTGCGGTGAGTTTTGTGTGGCAGTTCCAGCTAACGTGTGCGCAACTGGGTCTTGAACTCAGACGCCGCCCACTTGATCTGTAAGACCCCCAGAGTGCGGCTCTGCCCCCCTGTGGAGTTCTGGACCCTGCTGGGTGCCCGCCCTCACGCTGCACCGCATTACCCGCTTCCCGCTGCTCCCACTACGACGCCATGCTCGCTCACGGCCGCACTGGCCCAGCACGCCCTCTCCTACAGGCCCCTCAGACCGACCTTGATTTCCTAAAGTCGGTCCTGATCAGTCTAGAACTCAGGGTCCTCTGCCTTTAAGAACTCTGTACCATTCTCCAAGGAAGATACAAAGATGGGCAATAAACAGACCAAACCTTAAGAAAACCCAAATGCTGCACCACTGGGTGCTGACATCACTTGTGTAAACCACTTTACGTGGTCCCTGACTTGTTCCATGTGCTCTGGCTTAACTTCGGTTGTCCTGTCTCCTCCGGCACCCTGCGTGCGACTACTTGCTCTTCACGGCACAGGCCGAAGGAAGGTGTGCGTGTTTGGCACCCCTGATCCTGCCGCTGAGCACTTCTGACCCCTCGGTGCACGCTGCCTGCCTTCAGGTTTGGTTCTGCCGGCACCGGCTCTCGACACGGCGTGGGCTGTGTCCTCTCTGCCCGCAGACTGCTGGTGGTCCACCATCCACACTCGAGAACGCTGAGACTGTCGGGATACGATGATCCCAACAATCTCCGTCTTGGCAGTAAGACTGGCAGATTAAACTACTAAAATATATTTAGCCTCTTTCTATTTCAGTTAAACACCTCAGATGGATACAGGGTTTCTTGAAGTGGCCAACTTATCAGGAGCTAGTGACCTGTGTGGTGGAAGACATTACTGACTAAGATAATGTCGCCAGAACAAAATCTGGACGGCAGAGCAACTGCAGAAGTCAC